CAGCATGGTGTCTCTCCCAAAAACTCTTCCTTTCTTCTTTTTCTGCTTTCTTTTTCTGATCTCAGTGGCTGCAAGGTAGTCATGTTGCATAATCTGGAATAAATCAAGTTTATTTGCCAAGCGTTTCAGAGGGGAATGCTATAACAGCTACACACCGACAGTACTGCGCTAATAGGCTAATTCACTGCAGCTCTCTCTCTCTCTCTCTCCCGGGGTTATATCCCAGCGTGTGCTGCCCTTCTAAATCCAGCCTGAACCTGATATAATATATGGAGATACCCAGTGTGCATCTGAAGCCATTGAATCTGGCTAATCATTCTGCGATGATTCTAAAGCTCTGGCTACATTAAAATAATCTGCATATAAGAACATGCCCAAAAACGCCTGTAAGATCATTATATGAGCTGAAAAGGAGAAATATTCTACTGTATTCTGGAACAAAGGAGGATAAACTGGCTACTAAGTCTTTAATATATTTAAATTTGTATAATTCATAAGGCTTTAGATTTTTGCTTATTTCTGGAGTGTAATTTGCCTTTTCCGCTGGTTGGGGTGCAGCTTTTTGATGTTCCTGGGTATTAAGCAGCTTGTTCAAGGGCACTGCATTAGTACGACCTGACGGGAGATAAAACCCAAGGCCATACTGCCATCTGTGTTATAACATGTACAGTACATTACCTTGGCACTGGCTGATGCCTGTTTCTTGTAGTACAGCATGTTTTTGCACTGCTTCTGATTTTAGATTAGACTCACACAGCCTGCAGTTCTCTGCTTCACCACAAAGTGTCTCTGTGCTCAAATCAGTGCTTCTACACCCGTTTCTCCTACTGATGAACTTATCTGCATCCTTTTCTTTCAGTGTCAAGCATCATGCACTAAATTGATACCATTTAAAAAAAACTCCACAATAACAGATCTGTTTTGTCACATGATTGAATGAAACCGCGTTGTTGTTTGATCTGCCTTTTTTTTAAGGTATGGTTTTATGGTTTTATTGTTTTCTTTCACAGACAGCATAATGGCAGTATGCTGTTCGAGGATACATATTTTTTTAAAAGATAGAAAATATAAAAAAGAAATTGAGAAAGCATAATCAATCACAATTAGAAATACAACAAGATTGGTCACCTGCCTGGATTGTGGACAAAAAAGCGCTTTTAGCTGTATCTTTGTATGATGATCATCAGATTTGAAGAATTTTGAAAGGTTTGTGTATTTTACATGATCCCTATCAAAATAATCCTTTGTAAATAAATACATTTTAGTTTGCCACAACATGCATATAGTTTAGGTGCTTGAGTTGCTGTTTGGCTGTAGAGAAAATAACAATTTAATTCAGTAACCATAACATTATGACCAATGCCTTTAACAGGCATATTGTGTCATATGACAACAACTTGGGCTAAATCAGTACAAACAGTCTGTTGTACAATAGGGACCAAACTGCTCCACTGGATCTGTCAGAGTTAAGTTTTATTTTTTGTTTTTTTGCTCACACCTCCCAAACTTTTATTTTCCAGTTGAGCATTAAATCAACTCTTCACAGCCCCCCCCCCTTATCCTGAGGCTACAATGGGTAATGTAATGTGTTTCCTGAAGGCTGAGTTCCAAATGCCATGCGCAGTGAATGTGGATTGTATTAAAGGTTGCCTAAACGCATTACTAATGAGATTTCAGCTCATATGGCTGCTCAGGGCTACATTAGAAATAAACTGCTTCCTGTAAACACATGATCTCAACAGGCTTGCATATCACTATTATCAACAGGATAAATTAGAACCCATCTTTACAAAAAGCTACTTTTAAGGAGTACAATGTAGAAACTTTTACCAACTTGAAACAGGGAGAGACTCGTTATTACCCTCTATGCATCGTCTCTTGTGTTGTACACATGACCTGTTGTTCAACCAATTTCCTGGTAGACGAGTAGACACTACAGGAGGGTAAACATTGGACTATAATTTACACGTTTTCTGATATATTTGGCTTAAATATGCAAATTGAATGTTCTGTATAAAAATAAAAATAAAAAAAAGAACATGAACTGATCGAAACACTGGAAGAATCCAGGTCAATTTTTTATTTCAACTTATTTTTTTTATTTTTTTTAATATATTTTTCTTTTTCAGTTATAAAATAAACAGACATTGCTCCAGATAACAGAAAAAACACGTAACAACTAAACAAAACATAACGGGGGGGGGGATGCAAGGATGACTTCCTAAGACAGCTGATTGTGACGCAGGACATTACATACACAATACATTACACAGGAGATGCCATATTGACAGGGTCAGATACTGTAGGAGAGCTGCGGACAGTGAACCGCAATCCTCCTGTCTACCCTCAAAATCCCCCAGCAGAGAAGCTGCACGCTCCATATTCAGTAGGTCCAGATACTCCCTCAGCCATTTTATTTCAACTTTTTTTGATGAATAAGAGTAAAAGATTTTGACAGTCATTTTTGGATATCTTGTATCCAAATACAACTCCCAAAATCACAACATACTGTTAGCAGCCATAACATTTTTCTTTTATGGATAAATGTTTAAATAAATCAGGCTATAGATGAGATAGTATATCAGTGCTACTGTAATGGAGATTTGTTTGCCTTAATAAGAAAATAAATATTTTTTAGAAAACTACCTTTGCAAGACAATACAGTTCATTGGGGTCAAACACTTAACTCGGATATCACAAATAAACGTAGGCATTATCTAACGCTAACTTTGAGGGAATAAAGGGGAAATAATTTAATGTTGTGTTGTATACAGTATGTTATAATAATAATAATAATACATGTTATTTATATAGCGCCTTTCCTGGTGCTCAAAGCGCTTCACAAGCAAGTAAAGAAAAATAACAACAAAAGTAAAAAGTGCTAGGCTAGGTGGAATAGGGGCGAGGGGTTAATGGATTAGGAGTTGAAGGCAAGAGTGAAGAGGGCTTTTTTGAATGACGTGAGAGTGTTGGCAGATGTGACGTGGCTGGGGAGGGAGTTCCAGATTGAGGGGGAGGCTGCGCCGAAGGCCCTGTTACCCCAGGTACGGAGCTTTGTCTGATGGGCTGGGTTGGGGTGTGTCATTGGATGAGGTCACAGAGGTAGGGGGGGGAAAGATTGTTGAGAGCTTTGTTAGTGAATAGTACCATTTTAAAGTCAATGCCGTGTTTAATGTGGAGCCAGTGGATGTCATGGAGGATAAGGGTGATGTGGAGGTGAGCATGCGGGCAGCTGAGTTTTGGACATATTGAAGTTTTTTGAGGATGTATGCAGGTGAACCTTAAAGAATGCTGTTGCAGTAATCAAGACGGAATGTAATGAAGGCATGGATGAGAGTTTCAGCAGTGGTGGATGACAGGGGGGTCTGATGCGGGCAACGATCTTTAAGTGGAAGAGGGCGTTTTTTTTAACCTGGTTAACATGAGGAAGGAAAGTGAGGGTGGGGTCGAGGATGATGCAGAGGTTACAGACGTGAGTGAAGAGACATATATTTTGTTGATAGGTATAGCTGTGTGTCATCGGCATAACAGTGGAATTTGAGTTGGTTTTGAAGGAGGATTTGTTGATTTGGGAGGATGAAGATGATGAACAAAAGGGACCAAGTACAGGACCCTGAGGGACCCCATGATTGACAGGGGCCGTGGGGGATTTGGAGTTGTTGATTGAGATGAATTGATGTCTGTCAGAAAGATAGGATTTCATTTAGTTATATATAACTGGGAAGTTCTTCAAAAAGTAGTGTTGTGCTACAGTACCTCACTAATGCCTGTAGAGTGAATCGACAAGACAAGACAGGACAGGCCAGAGCTAACTTCAGTAGCTCACTCTGCAATACAACACATGTTTTTGACATAATGTGAACACTGTAACCTCTTTACTTTCTGTTGAAAATGTGACTTAATTTGACTTTCAATTCTGCCATTTCTTACACATTATAACTTTAACACCTGTGCACTATTGACTGCATATCAAAGCAAACCCGGGAGTTGGAGTACCCGTCTTGATAATATTCCTTATTTACACGTTTCATTAGGGACCCTAATGAAACGTGTAAATAACCCCTAATTTAGGGTGCTCCAGTTTCTTGCAACTTTTCAAACTCATGCAAGTCCGATGTATTAGAAAACAAATGAGCTATGCAATTCCAACTGAATGCTCTTGGTGGACTGGCAGCCTGTGCATTTCACACCCATGCGTAATGTATGCTGTGAGCTGCTCAGGCCCTCTGTAACAATAAATCAGTTAAACCTTAAGGACACTTTGATTTGTGTTTTCTCTCGTAGCCCACAGGCTGTGAAAAAACCCAATCAAAGTCACACTCGCAAACTAGATCAGCTGTAAACACAATTACTCATGTTAAATGTAATTAGTTGTATGCTTCATGTGTTCTACTTCAACTGAAGCGGCGCTACATTTGATTTACGTTATAAAGTTGTTTTAAAAAACTGCTGCACAGTAAATAAATCATCAGATAAAATCATAATAAATATATGAATGTATACCCCATTACTTAAATATGTGACTTGTTTATAAAAAGCTTATTAACCTTATGCTCTCCCTGAATAAACTGAGAGATAGTCTATTATGGTTAATGTACTCCAGGTGTCACGTGTTTCATGCAAATGTATAATCATTCCATCATGCAGTGTTTATCCAGGCCACCTGCTCATTAGTCGGTTGCATCTCATTATCCAGGCACGTATTTACAACCATAACAATATAAGAAATGAGTTGATTCATGACGATGTCTCCATAGTGAGGACGGCTTGACATAATTCCATTTTCCATACGCTTTTATTTATTAAGAAGATTAATTTGCTTAAATATCAAAGGCGATGCACTGATGGAAGGCGAATCATCTGAACGTTGATTGGAATGGTAGATCATTTGACCATCTTCGTTATGTAACCCATCTGGGTTGGTTTCGCTGTGCGGTTGACGTTACATCGTGACGACGCGTGAATCTTAGAGACGGGACAGGTCTCACATCTCCATCAGGGATGGAGGAGCGCTCGATCAGCAGGAGTCATGCAGGTGCTTCCCTCACAGTGTCTGACAGGAACCCGTGATGCAGCAGGGAGTGAGCTGCTCTCCCTCCGCCTTCGTGAAGCAACAGTGAAACGGGGATGCGGTTTTCCGGCAGTGTCGGTCTCTGAGCTGCTGTGACACCAGGAGGAAACATATTGCCCGCTCTCTGCTGGAGGTACCGCTCGGGAGGCAGAGAGCCATGGCGGGCGCTAAGCTTACTCCCTCTCCCTCCGAGATCGACCCAGACGTGAAGACCGAGGCGCACAAAACCCCCGAGCCAACATGGGTCAACCCCTCCAGCCCTCTCCGGACCATGGGCTCTTTCGGGAGCGATGCCGGCCAAAGGTAGCTGCCGCAGATCCGCAACTAAAGTCGCATGTTTCTGAATGCAGCTCGCTTGCACACATCCGAGAAATAACATGGTGCTGCTGCTGCGACTGCAAGTGCATGCTGCATAAAGTCTCACTAATAACTTGCAATTATCCGTAGGGCAAAGGTTGCGCTGTGATCAATGTATCATTACATCTGATCCCGTTAATTTAGATTCACACGGAAATGTGTAGGAATGTGTAAGCGTTATATTTTCCCCATTGGGCTTTAACGATAATGCATGCAGTGAGGCACTTTCGTTACCGACAGCTGAATGATTGCTTATGCCATCAATCATTCCCCTCTGATTAATGGGCTGCAGTGTAGCCTGATAGTGATGACATAATATAGTGAATGCTGCATTTTCATCACAATTTTATGGTTTTGTTTTATATTTTATAGGGTGTGAAAATGCTGTTATGCCACTGCATTCAAAGCTGAAGAACGTTTTTGCACATAATGCATCCATATTAAAAGATACAATGAAGATGCAAACCACAGGAGATTATGTTGACATACCTCCAAAAAGACATTTCAACATATGTCTGCACCACTCAATAGAGCCGGCACGCAGGCTTTCACAGTCAGGACACTCTGCTATTTGGTAGACAAATTAGATTGAGGTTTGTGTGAGATGGCATGAACCAGTAGCAACTGAGGTGAACTAAATGTTTTTTTCCTTTTCAGCGAAGAAAAAGCTCTAGATTTGCAGACATTACAACTCAGATTGGCTCTTTATCTAGGTTCTTTGAGGTTTGTTTGGCCGAAAACAGAAATATTGTGCTTGTTTGGCAGCAGTTCTGAGACTACTGCACAGCCAATATGCAATATGCAGTGTGGTGTTCAGTCTCTCAGTATTTACTGCACATGTTTTTCTTGACAATATTTATTTGAGGGTATTGACATTTATTGCAAATGTTTGGGATCAGAAATGTAGTATATGCTGCAGTAGCATTTGTTATGTCATGCAACTGTTTTGATATCAAACGTACCAACCATGGCAAGGGGGGGAAAATTACATAATGTCAGTGTTTGGCAAATAATCCTTCAAATTATAAGGCATTATTATTATAATCATTATAATGAAGCTGTACTTGTTTCATATGTATTCAATATTAATAATATCCTTGCTCTCCCTCCTTCACTTTCACATAGACCCATTGAAAAATTGTCAGCGTTGCAGTTCCACAACAAATACTTGAGCCATACAATCCTCCAGTAAACTTAATACATACGCCTCTGCAAAGATTTCCACTGGGGCAATACATCTCTTGCTTAGCTGTTATTTTGGAGGACAGACCTGGATGTCATGATGAGTTAGGGAGTTGGCAGTATTATCACATACTCAGAGAAAGGCGATGGATTGGCCTCAAAGGCAGCTCAGAAAGTCTTGAAATGCTTATTGTCAACCATCTTTCTATCTAGCGTCTTTCTACCTTTTTATTCTGATGAAGTGAATGCAACAATAATACCCCAACAAATCAGTTTGCAAATAAATGATTGTACCAATTTAACCTCGGACACTGTTAAATACGCAATGTGGTACCTCCCAAATGATGTTTACTCTTCTTAATATTCTGACGTTCTTTGATTTAAATTATTACAAATCACAGATATCAACAGTTTATTATGTTAACTTGCATTGACACAACAAGAATTGCAAATACTGTGAGGTTCAGCTAAGGATGCTAAACATGATATTGATGTTAGGTGTACTTGCTTCTCACGTTGTTGTTTATGTTGACAATGATGATGAATGAAGGTTTAAGCCATGACAGAACAATCTATAAATTATCAGCTGACATGTTTATCGATGACTGTATTGAATGAGACTTGGCTTTGGAACCGGCGAGTTGCCGGTTCGAGCCTTGCGCGGACCAGGTACGGAGTGTAAACTGGTAGCTGGAGAGGAGCCAGCTCTCCTGATGCTTGCAGATCTGTCAGAGCAATCAAAGTCTTAGTCTTACGGAAAACCAGTAAGTCAGCTGACAACTGCTCTGAACGGGCAGAAAGAGGAACAGATTGCTTTCAAATCACATTTGAGAAGTTAATCAAAATTGGCGCATTGCTATATTGCAATGCCAGACTGTATTAATCTGATATACTCTGCAAATGGCTGAGACTATCAAATGTAATGCATCTGTTGGCTAGTTGCCGTGAGCAAATAGAATTGGACCACTATCAATCATTCAAGAGGTTGCCACTCATAGCAACAAGTTCTCCTATATCTTAAATGAATGGATGAACGTTCAACCTTGATCGCGTCCTGTTACTTAACTCTTTCAGGAAATTAGACTAGTTTACATATATTTCCTAACTTCATTCACTTCTTCTTTATTTCCACACAGAGCCCATGTATGTCTCCTCCAGACAGGCAGGATGTAGTCAGGAGTCAGAAAGCTTTTTACGTTGTGGAAATGTGATCAGCGTGGGATTTGTGTCCAGCTGGCTCGAGAATAAAAGCTTGTGGAGGGTGGAGCGAGAGGATCAATATTGTGGTCCATTTACTACACTTTTTTTCGAAGAATTTATCTATCTTTGCATCATTTACAGCACCTGGGCGTCCCCTTGATGTTTGTGTTTTATAGGATTCTCTGAACGGAATTGACCGCTAAATAAAGTAGGCAGTAAAACACTCAATGAGACTTGGAGGATCTTCAATAACAGCGGGATTGACCATCTTTTAAACTCAGGATGTGGTCAAAACAGAAACTCACGCAGATTTATCTTGGCATCATCAGCATCGCCGCCACATTGTCTCGCTGTGAAAAATCTGTTTGGAAGATGGGCGTTTGGTTTGGTCTGCTGGTGTCTAATGAATCGATTGTAGAGCTCAGTGGGAGCTGTTAGTCATATTCACATTACTGCGGTATATAACACTGGGTGATTTAAGTCCTTTTTTTTTCAATATAGGCCAACAGAGAAGCCGGATATTTGATTGACTGATATGCAGCATAGACTTTATAGCATTCCTGACGTTTCAGCAACTCAAGTTTCTACAGACTGTACATGTCTGTCAGTCAAAAGTACTTTGGCTTTTATCGAGTTTTTAAACTTTTGACATTTGCGTTTCTTTATGATAAAGTCTTGTACAGTCAGCAGCAACGCCTCCTCCATATCAAAGCTTAAAGCTAGACCACGTCAGTCGCAATTCATGTTGTTCACTTTTTGATTGATGCTTTCGCAGTTCGATGATTTAATTTGAAGTTTTCCTGTTTTTGCATTTTTCTTTTAGTTGACAGTTAAAGCCGAGCTATAATGGGCATATGATACATGCTTTAGATAAGAATGTTTTTAGGAGGAATCTGGAAGAAATCTGTGTTTCTAAGCTGGATAATAGTCACATTTAAGGTCATTTATCCAAAACAAAAATACTGAATGTTTAAGATATTGTGCATCATTAACAAAAAAAGATAGCGGTTGAATAGTCCAGATATGGGTACAACAAAGTAGAGCTGACTGACACTTGTGCTTTTTTAATTGTCTCCAAAGATAATTTCCCTTTTAGTAAATTGAGCTTCCGGAAGCAAATTCCCTTAAAATCTTTAACTTAGTTAGGGTTAGGGTTAGAGCATCCTTCTGTGCATCAAAGCCGACCTTTACCTATCTTCCCTTTTCCTCTTAGATAAATCGATTGGTGCTTTATTGATCCCAAGTTGGGAAATGTTTGCGTTGCAGCAGCATAAAAAAACAAGGCAATGTACATAAGAGAAATGAAGACACAAGAAATAAACAGTCCAAAATATTTCTGAAATAGAAATAAAATAGCATTAAAAAGTAAAAAAAAAATATATACATGTGGACAATATACATGTGGAAATACACATTTCCAGTAACAAATATAATGCAGGATATTATTGTGCAAGAAATTGATTATTCAATATTAAATTGAATACAAATGTACAGTGGGAGTTTAAGTCCATCCTCTTCTCACACAAACCTATTCTTTTAACACTTCAAACATGTTGATGCAGACATCATCTTTAACTGTAATGTAGTTTAGCATGAAGTTACTTAGATGCAGTTTAAGTGTGAAATATCCTGGAACTGTGAATATCCTGATTTGTCTTAATCCAAAGGTTTTCCCTTAACAGCTGCCTTGTGTAAAAGATCTCAACTAATTTCTCTTTGTTAATCAATATTCAGTGGGGAAATAATTGAAAGGTAATGAACAAGTGTTTTAAATGAATCTTAAGATGAATGTAGATGCAATAAAAGAGAAGCAGTTCCCTAAAAGAACTGAGAGGGTATGTTTGCAAGCCTCTTGTCCTCGACTTGTTTACAACCTCAATTATTGTATTCTCTTTACAGTTGGAGGTTGGCCTTTTGTGGTTGCTTGCCTATTACACCAGTGGTTTTTTAAAATCATTAACATTTGTACTTTATCACAAAGACATAGACAACATGATTGTCCATTCTTTTTCATCACGTTGATTACTTTTTTTATGCTCTTTTCAAATTCATCGCTGGCTAATTATACTGTGTTGTTAATGATTGGACGTTAATTTCACAATTTATTCATTGTGCACACCTCTACAGAACGTGTCAGTCGGCCCTTTTGTTTAAATGTTTATTTATATCGCCCTGCTTTCACAGAACAATTACGCTTTCATTTTGATTGGAGAACCCAAGGTTTAATGAGGGGTTTTAATGTGGTCCATGGGGTAAATTACAGTTCATGTACAGTAGCACATCATCCGTGTTCATTAAGATGAAATCTCAGTAGTTGTCTTGAGAGATGAAAATAAAACCCTGGTTGCTACGCATGCCCCTTAAAAAAAATGAACCATTTAAAAGTTCTTGTCTGTCCAGAGGAGACATCTGAAAGCATATGCAGTAATTGGCCGTTAGAAGAGTCCCTGTATAACTAAGATACCAGTGTTTGCTTATACATAACAATATGTAGGCTACGTAGCACTTGTGCCACAACATCAATCACACACTCCTCTCACTTGCCTTCTTAAGGGCATTATTTA